CATTCCTGGTTATCTGCTGAGCTGCTTCTGCTCCTTGCTTTTGAGTGAACTGATGAGGCTCGTTTCTGCTCCCTTCAGCAAGGTGAAACCGTGTCAGATGTGAGAACCTTATCAAACGCCTCAACAGTGGACAACATCAGATCCATCTTTGGGAATGCTGTTAGCAGGTGTGTTGATGTCCTGGTTCCTTCTGACGTTTTCTGGTAAATCACAGAATCCCAGAGTGGAATACGGATCTCCTTCTTCCCCTTTCTCTCTTGAAGAACACGGGCTGGGCTAACTTCTGCCTTCTCCAAGGTGAATTGCAGAGAAGAGGGGGTGTTGCAGTACCAGAGCTCTCCCTTGTCTTGCAGAGTGTGGGACGTTCCTTCAGTATATCAGAAGGAAAGAGGGGGGTTGCAAAGTTGTTCCTCTGATGCACCAAAAGAGAACCATTTGCTTTAGCTTTCTGTGTGCTCATTTAAAAAGAGCAAGCTGTACCTGTGTTCTCTGCAAGCTCCTGGCCTCTTCCATGCCAGGAAAATCTTCATCTTACCCGTTCTCACTACAGTGCTCTCTGATGTGTTCTGAAGTTCCCTCAGATTTGCTTTTCTGGATTCCTATGGTTTGCCGTGTTGACAAAAGCTGCATTAGCTGAGGCTGAGCAAACAAGGCAAAGCATTTTAAAACAAATACATCTTCAAACGTGATTGGTTTTATCTACCACTTGAGGGAGAATTCTCATTATAAGACATTCAGCTGTGAAGGATCCATTGAATGGACTTGTAGAATGGATTTGTCCCATGAAGACAGGGGTGTCAGTTTGATTCACTTACTCAAGTCGCACTTTAGATAGGGAATGTAACTCCTAATACAGGGAAACACTGTTATGAGACAGCAAACTAGAGAGGCTGTTTAGTGACAAGGTTTGAGGTGTTTGTGTTTCTCTCTTATGTGTTTGGTTTTTGTCTACTGCTAATGCTTGTTTGATACAGGTTTTCCTTTGTACACTTCCATATAAATTGTCCATTTCAATGTGAATGTTTGGATCAAATGCTTTCAAGCAGCACTTTTATTTCAGTGGTTTAAGATGGTGTTGAGCCTGGCTTGCTGTTTGGAATTACAAAATGAACACAGCTAAAACGGGCCCTCAGTAGCTACTGAGGTTGAACTGGAAAGAAGGAGCCTGTAAGCCTTCTCCCTGCCAGGTTCTGAAGCTGCCCCAATGCCTTGCTAGGAGCTGTGCTCACAACCTGCCAGAGAGCATTTCCTTGGCCAACGAGGCATGAAAATCATGACGACTAATATGAAAATGATTTTGTGGCTCAGCAATGAACGTCTGAGCTCAAATCATTCCTGAGGGATTCATGGTACAGCTGTGAGATGAACACAGATCAGAGTATTGCTGCTCGTGAGCACTGCTTGAAGCGCGCCTCAGCAGAACTCATGTTTTGTGTGTGTCTCTGTGAACAGGGAACTGATCGAAGTGGACTGTGAGGATGCGAGCCTGGCCTTTAAAATGAAAGGCTACATCACAAATGCAAACTACTCTGTGAAGAAATGTGTATTTCTGCTCTTCATAAACCGTGAGTTTGAAAGAAAAAGGCAGTGTTTTGGACATTCACGGGTTGCTCAGGTAATCGTCATCAGAACAAAACTTCCTGAAGAGCTGCAGAGTGTATGAGCCTTCCTGAAAACACGCAGGAATAAGGTCCACAGTTCATCGTGGATCTGAAGGTGGTTCTCTGTTTGTAGTGTGCATCATGCTTTGCACTGTGGTTAGCGGGAAGCAGCTCAGGCTGGGCCTAAAGACACCGAAGCTTGTGGAGTATCAAGGTTGTGACTGTCCCCTGCCAGCTCACATAAGGTGGTCTCTCCATTCTGTAGCCGTGTTGGCATGGGGGGCAGCAAACCTTGGCTGCGTGAAGGAACGAAAAGGGAGTCTGGTTATTTTAGGCTTTGTGGAAAAAACTACTTCTACGCATGAAGCATCCCGAGCAGACAGTGCCTGTTCCTGGGTTTAGATGAGGAATAAGTAGGTCCTGGGGAAAACCTGAGGTAGTGGGTGCCCTGTGAAGACAGGCAGCGTGAAGCTGGTGGGGTGGAGGAGCAGTGGGGTGCTGTGTGTCCATGGGGCTCCTCACAGCAGGGCTTGGTGTGTGTTTCAGACCGCCTGGTGGAGTCGGCCGCTCTGCGGAAAGCCGTTGAGACTGTCTATGCTGCTTACCTGCCAAAAGGCACTCATCCCTTCCTGTACTTAAGGTAGAGTAACACGAAGAAGTAGCCTTTTCATACCACTTTGTAGGACATAGCTGGGGTGATCCGGTTTAGAAGGGCATCTGTGACCCTGATAGTAGTGTTAAGCATTGCACTGAGGTAATTAATTGCCAGACAGGAGATAATTAAATCACATTAAAGGAATCTTAAGAAGACAGGCCTTGTTCTCAGAAGTAGTCAGTGACTGTAATTTCAGGTTAAGTCCCTTTATATTAAATCACGAGACACTGCAAGCAAAAGAGACTTCCGAAACCTCTCTTTAGTCACAGTACCCTGGAGAGGTTGGTCTGAGCTTCCTCACGGAAGCTGATTCAGTGGGTTTGGAAGAGAGTTCTGCAGATTAATTGTCAATACACAAACAAATCTGACCACAGTGTAACTTCAGGGGGGTTTCAGGACCATTTGACATCTGTGTGATGAAGTAACAGCCCCAAGCCTGACACCCATTGTACCGAACCACGTTGTGCCCTCTCCGATTAGATTAACTTCTTTTCCAATGTTTTTCCAGCCTGGAAATAGCCCCCCAGAATGTAGATGTGAACGTGCACCCTACAAAACACGAGGTCCATTTCCTTCATGAAGACAGTATTTTAGAGCGTGTACAGCAGCACATCGAGAGCAAGTTACTGGGCTCCAATTCCTCAAGGATGTACTTCACTCAGGTGGGAGCACGTCTGGAGCGACCGTGGCTCTGCATGGTTTTAGCTGTGGTGGATACGTTTGCTCTGTTGAATAGCACAATCGGTGCAGCCTTGTAGTGGTAGCTTAAGGTCTTTGCTCTGTGTCTCAGGGACTGAATTGCTTTAATAAGCCAATGCTGATGTGGCAAAGGAGAGAAAAAGTGTCCGAAACTCCTGTGGGTACCTTCCTGTCAGGTGTCTGATCAGTCGTTTTGGTTTTACAAGTGGATTAGCCTTGGTACGTGGTAAACCTCCTCCTTTCCTGCCCTGGTTCCGGTGCAAGATGTGACTGAGGAAACTGTTCCATGTACTGGACAACACTTTGGGCTTAATCAAACCGGAGAAGAATCAGGAAGATTCCCCAATCTCTCTTCATGCAGAGCATAGTATAAGAATTACAACTATTTAAAAACACCAATTTCCTCGTGACTTTTGACATTTTGAGGCAAAGGAATGCCAACTAACCATTTTGTTAACTGCCAAGACAGCGGCATTCCCGGTGTGTGGATAGCATGTGCAGAGCTGATGGCCTGTTCCAGCAGCTGACACTGGGGAGGGGGTGTCCTGGGTTCAGCTACAGCAGTC